GATGGCTTCACATGTGAATTTTCCCTACCACTGAAAGAAGAATTTATACCTACCTTCTCAAACTATTTCAAAAAATTCAAGAGGAGGTAAGGCTCCCAAGCTCATTTTATGAGGCCACCATTACCTTGATTCCAAAACCCCCTGAAAAAAGGATGTTACAAAAAAAAGAAAATAACAGGCCAATATCCTTTATTAACATAAATTCAACAATCCTCAACAAAATATTAACAAATCAAATTCAGCAATACATTCAAAAGATCATACACCACGATCAAGTGGGATTTATTTCTGGGATGAAAGTTGGTTCAATATCCGCGAATCAATTAACATGATACACCACATAAACAAAATAAAGGATAAAAATCATGTGATCATGTCAATAGATTTAGAAATAGCATTTCACAAAATTCAGCATCTATTTATGATAAAAACTCTCAGCAAAGTGGGAATAGAGAGAACATATCCCAACATAGTAAAGGCTATATATGACAAACCAACAGCTAACATAATACTCAATGGGGAAAAGCTTAAGATCAGGAACAAGAAAAAGATATCCACTTTTACTAGTCTCCTTTAATATAGAATTAGAAGTCCTAGCCACAGCAATCAGACAAGAAATAAAAGGCATCCAAATTATAAAGGAAGAAGTGAAACTCATTATTTGCAGATGACATGATAGTATATATAGAGAACCCTAAATATTCCAAGAAATTAACTGTTAGAACTGATGAATAAATTCAGTAAAGTAGCAGGATATAAAACTAATATTCAGAATTCAGTTGCATTTTTATACACTGATAATGAACTATCAGAAAGAGAAATTAAAACAATCCCATTTACAATTGCATTTAAAAATACCTAGGAATAAATTTAACTAAGGAGATAAAAGACCTGAACTCAGAAAATTATAAGTCATTGAAGAAAGAATGCAAATAAATGGAAGATACAAATAAATGGAAGCATATACCGTGCTCATGGATAGGAAGAATTCATTAAAATGTTCATATTACCCAAAGCAATCTATAGATTCAATGCAATCTCTATTGAAATACCAATGGAATTTTTCACCAAACTACAACAAATAATCCTAATATTAACACGGAACCACAAAAGATCCCAAATAGCCACAGGAATCTTGAGAGAGAACAACAAAGCTGGAGGTATCATGTTACCTGACACCAAACTATACTACAAGGCTATAGTTATCAAAACAGTATGGTACTGGCATAAAACAGATACATAGATCAATGGAACAAAATAGAGAATCAATAAATAAACTATATGGTCAATTAATCTATGATAAAAAAAGGCAAGAGTATATAATGGGCAAAGACAGTCTCTTTAATAAATAGTGTTGGGAAAACTGAAAAGATACATGCAAAAAAATGAAACTAGATCACTTTCTTATACCATATACAAGAATAAAATCAAAAAGGATTAAAGACTTAAATATAAGACCCTAAATCATAAACACCATAGAAGAAAACATAGACTGCAAACTTTTTAACATTGCTCTTAGTTGTTTTTATTTATATATATCTCCTTGGAAAAAAGGAAACAAAAGAAAAATAAATGGGACTATATCAAACTAAAAAGTTTTTGCACAGCAAAGGAAACCATCAACCAAACGAAAAACAACCTACTAACTGGGAGAAGGTATTTGCCAATAATAGATCTGACAAGGGGTTAATATCCATAATATATAAAGAACTCATACAACTTAACACAGAAAAAAACCCAAACAATCCAATAAAAAATAGGCAGAGGACCTGAATAGACATTTCTCTAAAAAGGATATATAGATGGCCAATAAATAGACATATGAAAAGATGCTCAATGTCACTAATCTTCAGAGAAATGCAAATTAAAACCACAATGAGGTATCATCTCACACTTGTCCAGAATGGCTGTCATTAATAAATCAACGAACAAGTGTTGGTGAGGATGTGGAAAAATGGGAACCCTCATGCATTGCTGGTGGGATTACAAATTGGTGCAGCCACTATGGAAAACAATTTGGAGATTCCTCAAAAAATTAAAAATAAAAACTACCATATGACCTAGAAATTCTGAATAAATCCAAAACATGAATTCAAAAAAACATATGCATCCCTATGTTCACTGTAGCATTATTTATAATAGCCAATATATGGAGGCAAACTAAGTGCCCATTAATAGGTGATCAGATAAAGAAAATGTGGTACATACATACAATGAAATATTACTCGGCTATAAAAAGAATGAAATCTTACCATTTGTGATAACATGGATGGATCTAGAGGGTTTTATGCTAAAGTGAAATAAGTCAGACAGAGAAAGACAAATACCATATGATTTTCCTTACATGTGGAACCTAAAGAACAATATAAATGAACAAAACAAAGACTCATAAATACAGAGAAGAAACTGCTGATTGCCAGATGGAAGGGGCGTTGGGGAGCTGGGTGAAAAGGTAAAGGGATTAAGAAGTACAAAATAACGAAATAGTCACAGGTATGTAAAATGTAGAGATTATAAGCAATGATATTGTAATTAACTATTTATGGTGCCAGGAGGGTACTAGACTTATTGGAGGGATCACTTCATGAGCTATGTAAATATCTAACCACTATGTTGTATACCTGAAACTAAACTAATATTGAATGTCAACTGTAATTGAAAAAATAAATAGACAAGCGGTATAAAAGACCTAATGTCTGCCTTAGAGAGCGTAAAGATTTTTTTGTTTGTTTGACACAAGTGTCATTATCTGTCCTGACATTGACAGATTATGTGAGGACATTGCATCAGCAGCAACTTCAGCCTCATAGAATATAAAAAAGAATATACACTGCACTGATAGCTAGAACTGGGCCTTGATCTCCCTCTTCCATCTTTATTCTTTCCCCTCTCCTACTCTTAATCTATTAAAAAGAACTCACTGAAAGAACTTTCTATTTATGCAGAAAGTTAATTCATTATTTGGTCATGTCACGGCATGTTTTTCTTTTCTTTCTTTCTTTCTTTTTTTTTTTTTTTTTGCTCTTTCAGCTTGATGTAAAACAAAAAATATAGAATGTAAATATTAAATAGGGTTTTGTTTCGTTTTGTTTGGTTATATATTTTTCTACATTTTCCAAACTTTCTAGAGTAGAAATGTACTACTTTCTAGAAAATAAGACTCCTAGAGTTCTTCCTTAAAATCAACAACAGAGCAGCTTCTTGATATTAATTCAACAGCAACAGATATTTTCCTGTAAATCTCCATCTTGTCATGTTGGGATTAGGCTTAAACAGAAATTTTTCAACCATGCCATATTTTTCTCAAATTAAATATTATATGCACTTCGACCTTTTTTATCACAAAATCAGAAAACTTATCCCAAAGGGGAAAAAGACACTGTCCAATCAGCTCTGTTTTTTCTCTACAGCAAGATTTAATAAAGAGGTTGCCTTGGGCCAAGGGGTCACTTCTTTTGGGAATGCGTTTCCCTCTCCTTGCCCTGATACCGGGAAAGAAAAAATATATATATATATAACAATTGGCATTCATACTGATCAGAGCTTTAAAAATAGTGTCACATATAATAAGAATACAAAGAAAAATTCTCTTCAGAACAGTCTGATGCCATACTGACAAACAAATCCCCTTACTCAAGCATGTTCTAAGTTGGGTCATAAGTTGCAACAAAGGGAATCACAGAGGCACAAGATAAGGGAATTGATGTTATGCCAGGCACCATTCTAATCACTGTACAGGCAACATGTAGTCCTTATGATCACACTGAGAGGAAAGCATTATCTATATCAGGGTCAGTAAACTACAGCCCATGGAGCAAAACCAGCCTATAACTTGTTTTTGTAAATAAAGATGAATTGGAACACAGCCACACGCATTTGTTTCTTGTCTATGGCTGCTTCCCTGCTACAGTTGCAGAAATGAGTAGTTGCAACAGAGACCATTTCTCCCGCAAAGCTTAAAATATTTAATATTGGTACCTGTACAGAAAACATTTGCCAACCCCTGGTCTACATGACACCTATGAGGAAAATAAAGACCAAGGATGTTCAATAACATCCCAGTGTACACTCGGCTACTTTTTGGCAGGGCCAAGATGTAAACATGTGTCTATCTTACTTTATAGCCCATGATCTTTATATTTCTCCAAATCAGAACTTAAAGACTCTAACTTCCTCCAAAGTATTTTGTATATGTGGCATCGCAAATTACAAATTGAGAAAGATGAGACATGAAAAACCATGCTATTATTTTTAAGATATCTTATGAGACATAATTACTGTTGGATTCCTTAAGCTATGTAATCAACACTCTATTATTTTTTCCTTCCACTTTCTAATTTAACTCTATAGCAAAAGTTATGACAAACCATTTGAAAAAAAAATGAAATTTCACATGCAAAATTGACATTAGGTTTCATTGTAAAGCTTTCACATTAAAAGAGATCCTAAAATATTTTATGTGTTTCCTTAGTGTGATATGGTACTGCCTGTATGAAACTTGCTAGCTTCTTTCCAGTCTAGTTAGGGAGGGGTAGAGACAAATGTGCTTTAAATAATAGTCTAACCTATTCTTCATTTTTAGCATGACTGTTTTAAATGTCAATTTCTCTTTCAAAACCTCTTTTGCTTGACTCTTTAACTACTCGAGAGACTTTTTACAGGTACCTGATGGAAAAAATTGCTGTGGTCGAAATTGCAACCTCTCACCTGCTCACACTACTTTACCCATTGGTGACATAAAGGTGCAAGGCATTAAAAACGCAGACTAGAGAAGAAAGATAGGCTGGCTCAATTCAAACCGTGGGGAGCAAATGCAGGAAAGGCAGCATCCCCCCAATACCCCAGTCTCTCCTAGACAGATTCCAGCTGTTTTGGCAATCTGAGCAAGACTAGGTGAGGGGAGAATAAAATGGAAGACCACAAATTGATTTTTGCCTTTTAGATAAGTTAGAATTCAGGTTTTTGAAAGTAAAGACTTCCATGCATTTCAGTTCCCTTACCTTTGATTCAGGACCCAAAGGGGAAGAAATTAAATCAGTAATACAGTGGTAATCATCCCAGGCAAATATAGGAAGCAGAGATAAAAGCCTTCATTCCATACGTCTAATTTGGGAGCATGCACAACTCTGGCAGTCAGGCAATGAACTTGTGACTTCACTTGCTAATTTCACCCATACTTTTCCCTTCAGGAGAGGAAAGGGGATAAAAATTCCAGCCAATCAGCTCAACTTGGTGAAAGTGTTCATTAATTGTTTAGTGGAGATGGCAGTGAATGTAGAGTGAGTGTAGCTTGGGGATTTCCATTTCCTACACATTCCAATTGTCTGTTAGCACGAAGAATTGGGTTGGCAATTATATTCTCAGAAGGCCCCTAAGAGAACAGCCTCTGACCTCAGCTCATTCTTCACTGGTGATGTGAAAGCCAAGTGCATGGATTCTATCTAGCAGGATGCACTCTGAGTCAGTTGGGTCACACTGTATAATCACAGGGTCAGGATGACACGCAAACACAAGACAACTTCTGCCAAGTCAGCTTTTGCTCCTCCTGGGTAAAATATTCCTCTTTTTCTGAAGGCCAGTGGAAGAGTGTGAGGCTGTTAATTCATTTTTCTCAATCTTATTTTACCTTTGTACAACCTGCTTGCAACTTGTAACTTCAGAGGGGAATGTTCTAGCAGCCTAGTATATTCATACCGAGTCACTGCTGGGACTATTAGTTGGTTCTCCCTATCTGCCTTTCTTCCATTTCTCCAGATGTTGAAAGGCAGCAGAACTATTAACACCTCTGTGGCCCCTTTTCTGACACTCCCAACCAGAAAGCATTCCTTTCTTGCCCATGTTTCCTCACATCTCCACATAAAACTCATCACATCATAATGGAGGCATCTGGTTATTATCTATCCAATCATCACTGTGTTTATCTTTGTAGCCACGGTACCCAGTTCAGTACCCAGTACAGTGTAAACATTTAGAACGTTTTTGTTTATGACTAATCAGAAAATATATTTGAGTTATTTTATAAAAATAAATATTACATATTAATTAAAATTATTACAATTAAATTGAATTAAGTGAATTAAAACTCAATATTAATTAAAATATTGCTCATAGAATCACAAAACATAATTTGTATCCATATTAATTAGAAGAAAAGTTTAAGCAAAGAAGAAAGGGACAAAGGAAGGGCAGGAGTAATTAGGTTTTGCTAAGGAATGTGTACAGGTAGCATCTCATTTTTAAAAAAGCAATGTAAGTGGACACATGATCTTCATTGCCCTCCGCTTTCAGGGAAACTGTAAATAGGGTGCTATCACTAACAGGGTAAATAACCAAGTTCACATTCAAAGTGGCTAAAAGCAGGAAAGAACCAGGAGCCTAAGTTCAGAGCCAAAGTGCAGTTTGTGGAGATCAAAGCTGAGGAAATGGACAATTGCCTCATCAGCATTAACCCTAAGTTCAGGGTTAGGGCTGTGTGACTTCTGTCACAGGTGGACAAACTAAAGCTAGGTGTGGAGATGTTTGTACCAAACAGGTACCACTTCCCATACGCCCAGCTTATAGAACAGAGTACAAATACTGCATTAATATAGTAGGCCCACACAACACATGCTTTATGAAGAATCTCTTGCACAATCTCTTTAGAAAATAATTGGCATCCTCTTCTAAAGTTATACCTACATATACTCTAATATGTACTCTATGACCTAGAAATTCTACTACTAGAAGAGAAATACTTAACAGGTACAACGCAAGTCATGCACAAGAAAGTTGACAGCTATACTGTTGTAATAGAAAAAACAAATGGATTTCTATCAACTGGAGAATGGATAGCCAAACTACAGACTACTTATGTGATAAAATATTATATAGCAGTGAAAATGAGTTAATTACAGCTATAAACAACATTATGGAGGAACTTTAACAACATAATAAAAATGAAATAAATAATTTGCAGAAGAATATGTATAAAATGACTAAATTTTTCTTAAGCCCCTAAATTAAGAAAGCTAAATGAGATGTTATTCAGCATAGATATGTAATAATATTATTAGGAAAAAAAGAGAATAAAAGCCCACAATTCAGGAGAGTGGTTAGCTCTTGGCAGTGGGATACGCAGGGGGATGGGGTTGGGGCACACATATATAACTTTGACAGATAGGGGTGGGTTCATAGATGCTCAATTTTTGTTATGCTTCTGACATACACATAGGTTATATACATTCTTCTGTATAAATCAAATATTAGATACCATTAAATCAACTTTTTATTACTAAAAGTCATTTTGTTTCAAATAAGTTTTCTATCTAGAAGCTTTGCTATCCATTGTTCCGCTACAGAAGAATGAAGGAGAAATGAAAACCCAGATATGGAGTAAAAACTTCTTCAACGTGGAACAATTTTTCAAAAAAACCATTCATCCCTAATTTAAAGATGAGAAAACTAAGGCACAGAAGGGCCAAGCAATTTGTCAAAGTTAACCAATAGGCAAATGTAACTTTTTATTTCTTATTTGTCTAGCCAATAGTAATACTAAAGCTGTTTTAACTTGGAGTTGGGGAGGAGGAAAGCCAGTGTAAACTTTTCAGTAAGCAGAAATATTTCAAAAGGACCCAAATTTAAATTTTTGTAGTAAGTGATTTTTTTTTTCTTGAGACTCTCTCTGGTCATTGCCATAAAGAACTGACTAGAACAAAAGACTATGGCCTCCTGCATTCTAAAAATATTTAGAAACAGGTTTCTACCAAAATCTCCTTTATTCTTTGTGTATGAAATACAAAAAAAAATCAAGGCTCCAATAACTAATACTGATGGAAACTTTAAAGATAAAAATGTCAAAGAAAAAGCTTGAAGCTCCAGCATGCTTCATATTTTAATAAATGAAAAGATCCAGTCAATTGAAATTCCCTTTGAAGTAATTTTGCTAAGCTCCGTACCTGGTTTAATCATACTGTAACACAGAAGTAAACAAAGAAATGTTGCTACTGAGAAATATAAGTGAAATTTCTCTGCAGCCAGAAAGAGAATAGATGTGTCACAAGTGGAAAAATTCTCACTCGGAGTGAGGGTCCTCAGACAAACCAGCACCTTTGTGTGAGTAACAATATGACTCACAAGAGACAAGCAACTGCATGCGTTGGGACCCAGCAGTTTTGTGGTGGAAAAGCAAGGGAAAACCTAGAGATTTGTCCTTGGCATGCTTGGTGGCGAGGAGGATCTGGTTCTTTTTGTTTCTTCCAGGGAATCCCCAAGGAAAATGTCACGACTCTGGGAAAAGGCAATTCCTCTAATGTTTACAAAAAGACATGGAGATTCAACCATCTTCTGGAAGGAGCCGGCAGAGGCAAAATGAGTATAAAGAGCATAAAGTGACATCCTTACCACAGAAACAGAAAGGAGGGAGATTAAAACAATGCGGTAGAAGAACGGTGAAATAGTTTGAAGCCTGTAAAACCTTAAATGAGAGAGTTCACAGAGTAAGTTACTATCATTCAAGGAAAGTAAAAACCTCGATTGCCACTCTAAAGATACATTATGAAGAGTTAGCAAGAGACTGAAAGTAGAAAGACGTTTCCTCTCAATGTCCTTTTCTTTTAAACAGTTTTATGGAAATATAGTCAACATACCATACAATTTACATATTTAAAGTATACAGTTTGATAAGTTTTGACAGATGTATAATACATCCATGAATCTATCACTGCAATCAAGATAATGAATATATCCATCATCACCAAAAGTTTATTCATGCTTCTCTGTAATTCCTCCCTCCCAATACTCTCCACTCCCACTCCAGGCAAGCATTGAACTGTCAAATGGATTAGTTTGCATTTTATAGAATTTCCTAGAAATGGAACACATAGTTTTTGTCTGGCTTCTTTCACTTAGCATAATTATTTTGAGATTCATCTACTTTATAGTTCATACTACAGTGTTATGCCTTTTTATTGCTCAGTGAAAAAATATTCTATTGTATGAATATACTACAAATATACCACAGTTCGTTTATCTATTTATCTATTAATAGACATTTGGGTCATATCTAGTTTTTGGCTATGACCGTCATGCTCAAACTTCATAGAACATATGCTTTTATTTCTCTTAGGTAAACACTTAAGAGTTTAGTAGCTATATCATATGGTATACGTTTGTTGAAATTTTAAAGAAACTATTAAGCATTTCCAAAGTAGTTGTACCATTTTACATTCCCACCAGCAGTATATGAGGGTTCCAGTGGCTCCACATCCCTGTCAACACTTAGTATGGTTAGTCCATTAATTTTAATCATTCTAATTGCTGTGTAGTATTAGTGCTTTATATTTTTAATTTATATTTCCCTAATGAAAAATAATGCTGAATATCTTTTCATGTGCTTATTTGTCCTTTGTATATCTTTTTTGATTAAGTGTTATCTATATCTTTGCCCGTCATTTAGCTGGGTTGTTTTCTTACTGAGTTTTGTGAGTTTTAAAAAATATTCTGCATATAAATCCTTTACCAGATATAGATCTGCACAAGTCTGTGGCTTGTTTTTCATTATTTTAACAGTGTCTTCCAAGGGTGCAACTTTGTCATTTTAATGAAATCCAACTTAGCAATTTATTCTTTTGTGGACTGTGTTTTGTTGTCACAGCTAAAAATATCCTTGACTAACACAAAGTCACAAACGTTTTCACGTATGTTTTCTTTTAGAAGTTTTGTAATTTTAGGTTTTATAGTTAGATCTATGATCCATTTTGAGTTTATGTTTGTATATGATATGAGTTGTGGATTGAATTTATTATTTTTGCATGTGTATATCCAATTGCTGAAAAGGTTATTCTTTTTACACTAAATTGCCCTTACACTTTGTCAAAAATCAGTTGTGTACGTGTGTGTGTGTGTGTGTATACATATATATTTTTTCATGCTCTTTATTCTGTTCCATTGACCTATTTGTCAGTCTTTATACCAATTCCATAGTGCTTTGATTACTGTAGCTTTTAATAAGTCTTGAAATTAGATTCTGTTAATCCTCTAACGTGGTTCTTTTTGTCAAAGTTATTTTGCTATATTATGTCCTTTGCATTTATGTATGAATTTTAGAATTAGCTTGCTAACTGCTGAGAGTTTCATGGGTATTACATCAGACCTATAGATCAATTTGG